GCGTAGCTGCTGAGCCCTCCCCTGGAGCGTGCGAGGGCCCGTCCTCGGGGATGCCGTCGGACCTCTTCCGCTTAAACAGCGATGACGTCACTGAAGAGCTGGCTGTCTCGCGCCTTTGCTTGCGTGGGGCCCTGACTGGGCTGCCCGCGGGCTGGTCCTCCATGATCTCCTCGAGACCCCGTTCTAGCGAGTCGTCGGAAGGAATCGCGGCCTCCTCGCCATCGGCGAGGGGTACCTGCGTGGGAATCGGGTCATCGGCCAGCGGGGCAGGATAACTGATGCCATAGGCCGCAACTCCCCCTCCCTTCGGCAGGCGGACACTATCATAGGCAATCGGTCTCGGTGTCGATTTGCAAGAGAAATTCTCTGCTGACGATGCGGATGCCACGTCCTGCTCGCCGTCCGAGAGGTCGATGGGGGCGTCAAGTTGTCCAGCGATTGGTAGCGGCATCTGCTCGCCGCGCTCGTGCCAATCGGGCTCTCGTCGTCAGTGGCCTTCGGGGTGTCCGGGCGATGCTCATCGGCATAGGAAATATTCCAGCTGATCTTTGGATGAGAGCGCCGCGCCGCCCCAGGAACATTCGTGTTCAAACCGTGGCATCCGTGACATATTACCTAACAGCGATGACTGATAGGTTTCTAGTAGGGTCAAAAGAAAGCATAAAGAGAGCATCATGACTCCCCAGGGGGGTCTGGGCGGGATCTAGACAGGGTGCCCCGGGAAACCACCGGGACACCGGGGACTCCTTTTTTTTAACCGACAGTAACGCACTTCGTGGTCTTCGAGTTCCCAGGGCTCCATTCCTGGGCATGATTTTGAATGCCCGGAGCCAACTGTAAGCCACTTCGTGTTCTTCGAGTTCCCAGAACTCCATTCCTGGGCATGATTTTGAATGCCCGGAGCCAACTGTAGGCCACTTCGTGGTCTCCGAGCCCCCAGAACTCCATTCCTGGGCGTGATTTTGCATGCCCGGAGCCAACTGTAAGCCACTTCGTGTTCTTCGAGTTCCCAGAACTTCATTCCCGGGCCACATTTTGAATCCTGAGGCAGGCTGGTGCTGAGGCTGAGGCAGGCTGAGGCCGAGGCAGGCTGAGGCTGAGGCTGAGGCAGGCTGAGGCTGAACCAGGCTGAGGCTGCGGCTGAGGCCGAGGCAGGCTGAGGCTGAGGCCGAGGCTGAAGGCAGACTGAGGCTGAGGCTGAGGCTGAGGCTGAGGCTGAGGCTGAGGCTGAGTCTGAGGCAGGCTGAGGCTGAGGCTCAGGCAGGCTGATGCTGAGGCAGGCTGAGGCTGAGGCTGAGGCTGAGGCTGCTGCAGGCTGAGGCTGAGGCCGAGGCTGAAGGCAGACTGAGGCTGAGGCTGAAGCAGGCTGAGGCTGAGGCTGAGCCAGGCTGAGGCTGAGGCTGAGGCAGGCTGAGGCTGAGGCTGAGGCTGAGGCAGGCTCAGGCTGAGGCAGGCTGAGGCTGAGGCCGAGGCTGCAAGCAGACTGAGGCTGAGGCTGAAGCGGGCTGAGTTGGAGGCTGAGGCAGGCTGAGGCTGAGGCTGAGGCAGGCTGATGCTGAGGCAGGCTGAAGCTGAGGCTAAGGCTCATGCAGGCTGAGGCTGAGGCAGGCTGAGGCTGAGGCCGAGGCTGAAGGCAGACTGAGGCTGAGGCTGAAGCAGGCTGAGGCTGAGGCTGAGGCAGGCTGAGGCTGAGGCTGAGGCAGGCTGATGCTGAGGCAGGCTGAGGCTGAGGCTGAGGCTGATGCAGGCTGAGGCTGAGGCAGGCTGAGGCTGAGGCCGAGGCTGAAGGCAGACTGAGGCTGAGGCTGAAGCAGGCTGAGGCTGAGGCTGAGGCAGGCTGAGGCTGAGGCAGGCTGAGGCTGAGGCTGAGGCTGAGGCTGAGGCTGAGGCAGGCTGAGGCTGAGGCTGAGGCAGGCTGAGGCTGAGGCTGAGGCTGAGGCAGGCTGAGGCTGAGGCTGAGGCTGAGGCTGAGGCTGAGGCAGGCTGATGCTGAGGCAGGCTGAGGCTGAGGCTGATGCAGGCTGAGGCTGAGGCAGGCTGAGGCTGAGGCCGAGGCTGAAGGCAGACTGAGGCTGAGGCTGAAGCAGGCTGAGGCGCTGAAGCAGGCTGAGGCGGTGAGGCGGAGGCAGGCTGAGGCTGAGGCTGAGGCTGAGGCAGGCTGAGGCTGAGGCCGAGGCTGAAGGCAGACTGAGGCTGAGGCTGAAGAGGGCTGAGGCCGAGGCTGAGGCAGGCCGAACCTGAGACTGGCTGATGCTGAGGCAGGCTGAGGCTGAGGCTGAGGCAGGCTGAAGCTGAGGCTGAGGCAGGCTGAGGCTGAGGCAGGCTGAGGCTGAGGCTGAGGTTGAGGCAGGCTCAGGCTGATGCAGGCTGAGGCTGAGGCTGAGGCAGGCTGATGCTGAGGCAGGCTGAGGCTGAGGCTGCAGCTGATGCAGGCTGAGGCTGAGGCCGAGGCCGACGGCAGACTGAGGCTGAGGCTGAAGCAGGCTGAGGCTAAGGCTGAGACAGGCCCAGGCTGATGCTGCAGGCAGACTGACGCTGAGGCTGAAGCAGGCTGGAGCTGAGGCTGAGGCTGAGGCTGAGGCAGGCTGATGCTGAGGCAGGCTGAGGCTGAGGCTGAGGCTGATGCAGGCTGAGGCTGAGGCAGGCTGAGGCTGAGGCCGAGGCCGACGGCAGACTGAGGCTGAGGCTGAAGAAGGCTGAGGCTAAGGCAGGCTGAGGCTGAGGCTGAGGCTGAGGCAGGCTGATGATGAGGCAGGCTGAGGCTGAGGCTGAGGCTGATGCAGGGTGAGGCTGAGGCAGGCTGAGGCTGAGGCCGAGGCTGAAGGCAGACTGATGCTAAGGCTGAAGCAGACTGAGGCTGAGGCAGGCTGAGGCTGAGGCTGAGGCTGATGCAGGGAGGAGGCTGAGGCAGGCTGAGGCTGAGGCCGAGGCTGAAGGCAGACTGATGCTAAGGCTGAAGCAGGCTGAGGCTGAGGCTGAGGCAGGCTGAGGCTGAGGCAGGCTGAGGCTGAGGCTGAGGCAGGCTAAGGCTCAGGCTGTGATTGCGACTGCCGTTGCCGCTGCGACTGTCATCGCGAATGCGACTACGACTGCGAGAACAACCGAATTCTACAACTGAATCTTAAGGGAAAGCTTCCAGATATGCTCCTACACATCGCTGTTCGGTTGGTTTTCCGGGATATTTTTTCTTTCGTGCATCACCGACGGAAGGGGGAAACAATGTTCCCCCATCTGGTAACCAATGTTCTGCCAGTTCTCATTCAAGAAGGGAACCTTCGCAACCCGATTAAACGGCAAAGCGCGTAATTGTTCTTCATGGTGATCTTCTTCTCGTCGTAGTTTCATGTTCAAATCCAAGCGATGTGTGGGAGAAGTATTTCTTGTGGCCATGGCTTAGTATGGTGTTGTGCCGTTCAACAATGGCTTACATCACGCTGCTAGGGGGCAGGGCCGGCCGCCTGGCGGGCGCGCGCGGCGGGCGGGCTGAACCACTTTCCAGCGATCGAAGCCAACACAGCTTCGGTACATGCCGATAACTGATGCTGAAGCAAGGCAGGGGTGTGACTAAACCAAGTCGGTCTATCAAACCACTACAACTGTAATGTGATGCGCGCTGCTGTAAATGACCAGGCGACGGGCCACAGGGCAATTTCGTGCGATGCGACGTGCCGCGCTGCGTCCCACGAAATTGGCCACGGTGCCCCGTGGCGGCACCTGGCCTCGTGCGTGGGGTGGGGCGCTGCCGTTGGCTCGGTTGCCCGCGGCTCCCATTGCTACTCGCGTGTGAAACGGTGGGGCTGGAATCGATCCGATCTCTCTCATCACAATCCATCACATTGCTCTGCAGTACCCCACATGTCGCCGCATTACGTCGAAGCTCCCCTCGTGGCCCGCATGTGTTCTGGGGGAGGCGCGAGTCAATTCGATTCGATTCGATGGCCCTGCGCTCTGCGCCCACACATGGCCGCAAGTCGTGATCTGCGTCGTCACCTGGCTCAACCCGTGTCGGCTCGAAGTGGACTGCGCGGCTGAGAAAGACTAGCGACCCGTCCGCCATCGGCTAACTGGGAGGGGGCGCGGAGGTGGCCGTGCTGCCTCCTCCAAACCCAGACGCGCAATGTCCGGATTTTTCCCATGCGGGCCCCCAGAGGTCCGATCCCTTCTCCGGGGCTGGTCTTTTTTGGGGCGGATTTTGACGGTCCCCGGGCTCGGCGAGGGCCCCCAAGAGGCAGAAAATCGAGGAACACCTCCCGTCCTACATTTTCACGAAGCGAGCATGTCTGGAAACCCCATCGGCCGCCACGGCCAGCGGCACTGCCGCTGCCGCGGCGTCCGCCGTAGCTTCGGCGGCAGCGGCCGCGCCCAGCCGGCCGCCTCAGACAGAAGAGCCGGCCGCGACTCCGCTGGGCAGCGCCACGCCAGGCCTGCCACGGCCCGCGGCGTGGGCCCTCCAGGCCTGGGCCGTTGCCCAGGATGGCGCTGGCTTGCGTGCGCACGACACCGACGACTCTGAACCACTGGAGCGCCAGGCGCAGGGTCTGGTGTTCCCTCGACAAGAAATCGACTGGGATGCTCGTAGCCCCGCGGCCATCGTGCGGGGGCAGGAGCTCTAGAAGCGGATTCGTTGTCCGCAGCCCTTGGGCAACTTTTGACCTTCGAAGGCCTGTTCGGCTGCTCGTGGCCCAATCCGCATTAGCGAGAACCTCTCACAAGGTGATTCGGCGAAGAGGCAAACCGCTCCGATGTATCCCGTGGTTCCGTTGCCGATCCAAACAGCACGCTGGCTGGCCTCATCTTCGTTGGAGAAATTATGTTGCAGAGCATGCGCTATATGAGCCCGTTGCCTTGAAACGCGCCTCCTTGGGGGCGACTCGATTGGTTTTGGCCAGCAGTACCCGCATGGCTCCACTCGTGGCCCCGACATGTCCCCTCGTGTGAGAGATCAACGGTTTCGGCTCTGTCTGCAAGGTGCAAATTGCGTAAATTCTTGCCCCAAGCACCTCAGCGTGAACCGCTCACCTTTCGCTCGGGCCAGCGCGAGGACGCGCCGCAGCTCATATGCCGGCTCCACGTAAGGCAGCTCCTCGGCATCCGCGGCGGGGACGCTGTCGTTGCCCCTGTTGTGAAGTGCGGACGACTCGTGATCGTCGTCGCGGCCGAAGTAATTGCGAGCCGCGTACAGCTCGAAGTACCGACCTGGCGTGCCAGCGCCCTTCAGCAGGTCGCGGGCGAACGGAATCATCAGTGGCGTCGCCTCTGCTGGGGCGAGCCGCCGCATCACGCTGGAGGTGGTGCTGTCCACCCTGATCAGGCCTCCGTTCGGTGGTAACTCATAGGAGCCTCCCATGCCGTCTCGCGGGCTCTTGCGGGCTCTTGCGAATCGACGCTAAGCGATGCTCATCGACGCTAATCGGTGCTAGTCGACGCTAAATCGGCGCTTTCTTGTCGACTGCCAGAAGCTAGCGCGCGCATGTGCACTCGAAGGGCGGAATTACGAGGACACGCAGGACTCCCATGATTTGCTACCGAATCCACCCTGAGCAGGCCTCCGCCGAAAGCGTCCGCAGCCCAGGCGGGTTCCACGTTCTTGCCGTCCGCAAAGTGCTCCTATGCCACGCTGGTCCTGCGCCACCCTGCGGCTTGGGGGTGGGCTGCGAGGCCACCGCGGCCGCCGGAAGTCTTGTGGGAGCCACTGGACCGTGTAGAGCAAATTTTCCCCTACTAGCGTTTCACTAAACAGGGTTCTAGTGGCATAGAAAATTATCCTGGCGAAAGACCCAACCATATGTAGTTGTGACAACCGCGTTGTGGGTGCCGCCTCCAGTGGGCCACGCAACGCGTGATGGGGCGTGCGGCGATGGGTGGGGGGGACGCATGCGGGTGGTCCCACTGGGGCCTTCGGTGGAGCTCCCTACGGGGCCACGACGCGCTGTGCTGGGTTGTGGAGACGCATGCGGGTGGCGCCATTGGGGCCCTCGGTGGAAGCCCCATATGAGGCCAGCAGGACCTTCGCTGGAGCTCCATATGAGGCCACGATGCGCTGAGCTGGGTGTGGCGTACGCATGCGGCCCCCCCCCACTGGAGCCTTCGGTGAAGCACCCTATGGGGCCTCAAAGCGCTGTACTGTGTGTGGCGGACGCATCCTGGCACCACCACTGGGGCCTTCGGTGGAGCTCCCTATAGGGCCGCGGAGCGCTGTACTGGGTGGGGGGGACGCATGCGGGCACTCCCGCTGGGACCTTTGGTGGAGTTCCCGATGGGGCTACGAAGCGCTGTGCTGGGTGGGGGGGGGACGCATGCGGGCATCCAAAAGCTGTACCGGGTGGGGGGGGGACGCATGCAGGCACCCCCACTGGGGCCGTCGGTGGAGTTCCCTATAGAGCCACGAAACGCAATAATGGGTTTGGGGACGCATGCGGGCACCCCCACTGAGGCCATCGGTGTTGCTCCCTATGGGGCCACGAAGCGCTGTACTGGGGGGGGGGGGATGGCGCATGCGGGCAGCCCCACTGGGGCCGTCGGTGGAGCTCCCTAATAGGGCCACGAAGCGCTGTACTAGGTGGGGGGGACGCATGTGGGCACTCCCAGTGCGGCCTTCGGTGGAGCGCCCTATGGGGCCACGAAGCGCTGTACCGGGTGGGGGGGGCGCGTGCGGGCACCCCCACTGGGGCCGTCGGTGGAGCTCCCTAATAGGGCCACGAAACGCCGTGCTGAGTTGGGCGGGCGCAGGCGGGCACCTCCACTGGGGCCTTCGGTGGAGTTCCCTGTGGGGCCACGAAGCGCTGTACTGGATAGGAGGGGGCGCGTGCGGGCTCCCCCACTGGGGCCATCGGTGGAGCTCCAACGCAGGGGGGAGGGAGTAGGAAGAGGAGGGGGAGGAGGAGGGGGAGGGGGAGGAGAGGAGAGAATAGGAACGCGGGGACCGTTTCTTCAAAACGAGGGCCCAGCACCACAGGATGATAGGAAACAAGAAGCCACCCCGACAACCGAAGCCGTTTAGTAAACGCGCCCAAGGGAAGAATAGAACAGAGCAGGGCTGTGTAGAAAGCGCCGAAGGCCGTTTAGTCAACGCCAATTATGGGGTTGGGGGTGTTTTTTTTCCCGCGCTTAGTGGAAACAGAAAACCTACAGAAGAGCCCCACAGGGGGGACGGGGAGCCCTAGACCGCCCTGTCCAACAATCGTTTCGACAGAAACTTCCTCACCATTTATTCAGGAATCGTGCTCTGCGGGCGGCCACGATCTTTCGTACAAATGCAATACGGTGCACATGGACGTGCTCTCGCCTCACTGCCCGGTCCATTTGTGGTCCAGACGGCCACGATCCCTTGCAAACGCTACGATGCACATGGCCTTGCTCTCATCCTTGTCCTGGCTGCTCTCACCCATGTCCAGCTTCTCCATCTTTGCTGCTATTAGGGTGCTGTGATGGGGTGCTCTCAGCAAGTGGCCTGTGCAGGTGAACGCGATCAAATTGTCCACCATAGAGGCCTGACGTGCTCATTATTACTGCAGGTTGGTCAATGCAGAGGTGTGGCTTACTGCTTTCACATTTTAGGATCACACTTGGTGAACGCGCAACCTCCGCTGGCCTGGACGTGTTGCTTCGGCGTCCCCGATAAGTACTTTATCAGTCCCTGGTCTCCCAGGGCCTCCCATGTCTCTCAAAGCCTCCAAGGCTTCCAAGGGTACCAAGCTCTCCTAGCCTCCAAAGTGGCCTGCAACGATGGCATCCGTGAACAAACCACAATGAGCAAACAACGTCGAGAATGTATACTTGCCTCCAACTTGTTTCTCTCACCAGGGATCTTAAGGTGGCTTCCAGACTGCTTCCAGCGGTCCCAATCTTGTCCTATGGACCAACATGGTCACAAGGTGGCCTCCAGAAGCTCCAAGATGCGCCAAAAAGGCCCGACAAGGTCCCAAGATTGCCTCAATGGGTGCCCCCCGATGCGCTAAGCTGATCTCCGGAGGCTTCAAGGTAGCCCAAGCTGTCGAAGGCATCACAAAGATGACCTGAGATGGCGTTTTCAACCCGACAGTCTCCAAGCGCCGAATTCATTGGAGGGGCGGGGGGTGATAGCACAAACTGCGGAGCCCTGCGCCTACAAAGCTGTCCGAAGCACGACTCATTCTGGCCTCTGCCACCGCTCGCCCGATCTATTCTGGTTACTCCCCAACCCGCAGTGGCGCAGGAGCGGCGCGGAGTCCTGAAGGAGACCGGTAGGGACGACCAAGTGGTTGGTGCCGCCCCACTGCTTCACGTTGCCGTACATCGTGCTGGAGGCCATGGCCATGACGCCCGCGACGGGTGCCAGGAACCCATAGAGGAAGCCGACGAGGACAGCCAAGAAGGACAACCAAGCTGCACCGCGGTATCCTCCCTTGGCTGGTGTGTGCCCACTCATGATGCCACGGAAATGCGTCACTGTGCCCCCTGGCACGTTGAGGCGCTGCAGAATACTATGGGCTATTCAGAGGGCCTCTGTATGTCTTTGAATGCCCGTTGCCGCCCGTGGCCGCCTCGTGGCCGCCTCGTGCGCTGGGTGGGTCCAGCGAGGTTTCGCCATGTTGCCGCCCGTGGCCGCTTCGTGCGCTGGGTGGGTCTGGCGAGAATTCGCCATGCAGCCGCCTGTGGCCACCTCTAGCTTGTACCACGTATACTGCCCCACATAGCTTACACTCCATAGCTTGCACCACCTAGCTTATACATCCACAGCGCAATAACCTACTGTTCGGGGTCCACGCTGGCTAACATCTTTGTAATTGGGATTTCGGACTTTCTGGGCCTCCCGGGCAAATATGGATTCAAGAGGACCCAGGAGGAGGCAAACAGAACACAAACGAGCCCAATGAGGGCTCCAAGAAGCCCCCCCAGACGACCTGCCCCAGTGGGGCCCCAAGACGGCCCGAGGGGGGAGGGGCCCAGGAAGGATAGCCCTAAATTGCCGCGAGACGGTTCAATAAGCCCCACAAGGAGCCCCCAAGCCAGCCCCAAGAGAACCCCCGGGCAGCCGAAGGGGGCTCAAGACGGATTAAGACCGCCCAAGAGAGCCCCTGCTACGGGCAGAAGTCAGCCCCGAGGGGGTCCCACAGGAGCCCAATACAGCCGCAAAACGGCCCTCATGAGAGGCCCTCAAGGAACAGAGACGAGAGGAGAAGCGTCGCCACACAGTGCTGCGCTGGCACGGGGGCGGGATTTGCCGCAAGCAGCCAAATACAGAAATGCAAGGAAAAGGTAGAGCATGCAAGCGGAATCGACGCCCGCGTGGATGGCGTACATCGCGGCGCCTACTGCCGTGCACATGGCAGACGGCAATATCAACGAACTGGAACGCCCTAGCGACTGGCTCACGACGCCCGGCAAGAACAACACGAAACGGCAACACATGGAGATCGAGAAACCTCCTCGGGATGACAAAAGGCCGCCTGCCTGCGCCAGTCGGCCCAAGCCTATCCTGGGCCCAAGACTGGCGCATGCGCCTCCTGGCCAGGCCGGAAGGCCCATGCTCCAGCGCTCTGTCGAAAGATGGCCTGGTCACGGTGTGGTGTGTTGGAGATGTGCGGTTGACATTCTCCCAGCTCCCGCGTAAGTCATGGGCATCAGGTTGATGGTCTGGTGGAAGCCGAGGGCCAGCACCACCCCTGCGGCAGGGTACAGCATCAGCGCCGCGGCCACGGCGAACTCCAGAGCCGCCACGAAGACAGGGGCGGTGGCGAGGAGCGTGTTGGACAACGCGCTGCCGGGGGGCGTGAGCTCGGGAGTGAAGATTCCGGCCATGAGCTCCGACAGGAGCACGGGGGCCTCTGCGACTGGCCCCCCCCCCAAGACGAAGGCAGGACGGAGACGACAACTCTGCGCGAGGCTGGCTCGGGAATCTCCGGGAGCCGGCGGGTCCGGAGAGCGTGGTGCCCCCAAGGGCCCCACAGTGGGCTCCTGAGAGGCATCTCGCGAGCCCCTCGCATTCACCCAAGGAGCTGCCGACCCACCTGATAGCTTCCCAGATCGTCGCATGCACCCGCTCCTTCTGGGGGGTCGGTGGAATGCTCTTGGGCGGTCTTGGGGCGGTCTTGGGGGCCATTTCGGCCGTCTTTGAGCGTTGGAAGCTCGACAACGCGAGAAGGCCAAAAACATCGAAACAACAATGACAATCAACGATTTTAGCCTCTTCGGGCGCTCCTGGACGCCCCTCGGAGCTCTCTTGGGGCCTCTTGGAGGCCTGGGAGCCTGGAAAGCCGTTGGAACTCTGTCTTGGGCTGTTTGGGAGCGTCTTGGGCCGTCCTTTCGCGTTCTGGGGGCTCGTCGGGGGCGTCTTCGGCCGTCCTGAGGCGTTTTGGGGCCTCCTTGGGAGACCCGGGGGCGCGGTGCCGGGAGTTGCCCCTAAATGTTCCTGAGGTGGGGTCCGCTCCCGGGGGGGGCGTAATTGTTGCTTTTGTTTTTGTTCTTCTTCTTCTTTTCTTCTTCTTCTTATTAGTATGATTATTCATTATTACTGTTATGGTTGACACTACTATTATTAGAACTATTATTACTATTGTTCTTCTTCTTCTTATCATTATTATTATTACCATTACTCTTATTGGTAGTGTGATATAACTATTCGTCCTATCAGAAATCTTCGGTTTATTAAGCATCATTATCCTTATCCTTACTAGGCGTATCTATGTGTGTATATGAATATGTATTTGTATGTGTATATATAAATATGTACTTATGAATGTTTGCATATACACGTGTGTGTGAGTGAGTCCAAGAACGTTTATTTTCAGTTCGATTAGCGAAGGGGCCATCGGGTGGGAAGGTCTTGTGCGACGCGTCGAGTGTTCCCGGCTTTTGCTCGACGCCGCCGCTGCTCAATAGATCAAGGCACCATGATCCACTGAGCAACAAAAGGAGAGGGGCGCCATTCGCAGGCCCCCTCCTGTCTCTCGCGGGCGCCTCAGACGCAGGCGCCCGCTTCCTGCCTGGGATGGCGCTCGAGGGCGGCCTCGCCCCGCCAGCTCCGCCGGCCGCAGCCGAGCCGCGCGGGGGCAGGACGTGGGCCGCCGTCGGAACGGCGCTGGCAGCCGCCGCGGCCGTGGGCAGCCTCGTGGCGCAGCTGGCGACCACGGGCAGCAGCAGGCTGGTCGGGCTGACGCTGTGCGTGGCGGTGAGCCCGACGGCCGCCTGGTACGCTGTGCGCCAGGGCTGGCGTCTGTGCTGCGACCGGGTGGCCGAGGCCGAGCAGCTGCGGCAGACGATCGAACAGATGCAGGCCTGGCGCCTGAGCGGAGGCTCAGGCGTGCCAGGCGCAACGCTCGACCTGAGCTTCGACATGACGACGGACGACGCTGGAGTTGATGGCGGCGCACTGCCCCCCGGGATCCCCCTCGTGCCGGGCGTGGCGGGCCCGCTGACGGGGCTGGTGGGCTGGGGGCCCCAGGTGCGGCGGCAGGAATCGTGCCGCCCGTGGGCGCGTCGCCCCCCGCGCCCGCTGGCGCTGCCAGCTTGGGCGCCCTGGGCGCTTGGGCCGGAGCGCCGAGCGCGGGCGTGGCCCCGCCCCCAGGCACCGCCTCGGCGGGGGCGGCTGCCCCTGGCGTGGGCACGGGCGCCGTGCCAGAGCACCGCCCAGGAGCTCAGAATGTCCTGGTGGTGTCGCAGGCGCGGCAGATCAAGGAGCTGTTGACGGCCTTCAGCGGCGCCGAGGCGTCCGACTGCCAGTGGGCCGCAGGTTCTGGCAGAGCGTCTGGGCCATCGAGGCGTCAGGGCAGCTCCAGGGGGAGATCAAGCGCGTGCTGACTGGCTTCGGCTACGTGGGCGTCGCCACGACGACGGCCCCGCGGGAGGCCGAGCTGATCGGAGCCCTGGACAGCCTCGGCTCCCAGGCGGCCCTGACCGTGGGCAGCGGCCCGTGGGAGCCATGCACATGCTGGAGTGGCGTGGGGGCCATGCACATGCTGGGCTCCACGACACCAGGAGGCTCGGCCGACGTGGCCCCCACGAGGATAGTGGCTTCTGCGACGACGCACTCCAGGACGGAGCACCAGCGCCGGGAGCGAGTGGAGTCCGAGCTCCGCAGCCGCAGGCAGAATGATAAGGGCGACGACAAGCGCGGCCGCGGTGGCAAGAGTGGCCGAGGAGGCGGGGGGGCGCGGACGGCGCCCCCTCCAAGGCCTGACGGCCAGCCGCGCGCCCCGCCGGGCCTGCGGGCGGGGCGCGGAGCGGGTGCAGCGGTGCGGGGCCCCAAGGTGCGCGACGAGGCGGGCCCGACGGTGCAGCGGGTGATCTCGGCGACGTCGGGGCACGAGGCGCTGCTGCCGATCACGCTGGTGGCGAAGCCTTCGGGGGGCGGGAGTCGGTCAAGCCGTCCAGGACGCCGTCTCAAGCGGAAGCTCGCGCTGTGGGCTCTCGCGAGGATCAACTCCATGGGCGCGGGCTCGTGCAGGGACCTCACCCGACTCCGCCGCGACAGCGATCTCTCGGGCAAGATGTGGGCCGCCGAACCTCTGGCACTTCGGGGACGCCGAGGAGGCGAAGGCGATCGACGGCTTCAGCACGGTGGGCAAGAAGTCAGGAAGTCGGCAGCGGAAGATCATCATGGTGGTGGCCGCTAACTACATGTTCAAGGATGTGAGGGAGCGGTCAGAGCACGGGCTGCACGGAGGCGGGGTGTTGGGCCGCCTACATGTTCCATCGGACTGTTGGGCGGCGGCGGCGTTCGACGAGAGCAACGCTTTCTCTTGCGTGGAGGTACCTTATTGGATGTGGGCCTGGCAGCGTGTGCCCCCGGTGCGGGTGCGGGCCGTCTGGGACCGACTCGCCGCGTCTCAGCGGGCCGTGCTGGTCCCCGAGTCCTGGGTCTACCCTATGTGGCGTCGGCGGGTCACGGGCAGCTGCCACAGCGTGCATATCTTGACGACGATCAACGCCAGAGTGTGCGCCATCGAGTGGGCTGAGCGGCAGCAAATACGACGCTCCACCCCCTGCCCCCCCGAGACGGACAACTATTCCGTGGCAGGGTGGTGTGAGGCAGTACGGCATGCCAAACTGCAGAGTGGCAGAGTCTTCGTGGTCATGCGCCTGTTCGCGGGCCCCCAGAGGGCTCAACAAGACGTGCAGTGCTACCTGAAGAAGTTCGTAGAGAAACTGGGCCTGGTCCTGCTGATGATCTCCGCCGACCTAGCGGAGGACTCGCGGTGGGACCTGAATCGGGTGAACACCTTCGAGCAGCTGTGGTCCCTGGTGACAGAGGGGCTGGTGGACGTTGTCTTCGGTGGGCCCCCCTGCTCCACTTGGGGCCGGGCCCGCTTCGGGCCGGGGGGTCCGCGCCCTCTGCGTCGACGGGGCAAGTGCTGCAAGGGGGCCTACCTCGGACGCGGCTGACGCCCGGGGAGATCGAGCGTCTGGACGCGGCCAACCACCTCATGC